GCCCAGTGCAATGGGAGAGGACAAAGCATCGGTACCAAAAATACAGAGGTGAAAACAGCCCCAAATCCAGGACTTGCCCTTCTGGCCATGAGGGAGTAAGAAGGATTCATCCTCTTGCCTTAAACATCAACAAATGGGAAAAATTTTAAAAATGGCTTTCGAACACTGGACAGCAGGCAGCACAGGAGAAGGGAAACAAACAAGGCAAGCCCTGCAATCGCTCCAGCTTCTTGGCTGCAGAGTTTTCAGTCAAGCAGCAGCGCAAAAAGCGGGAGCAAAGCCGGCAGTCTCCCCGAGTGGAGCAGACGTACCCGAGACCTCAGGGACATCGAAGTGGCTGAAGTGGCAGAGTGCGGTGACGGGGAAGAGAGCTGCACAGAGAGCCCCACGCAGAAGAAGAGCCCTGGAGACCTGGGGGCCCTGCTCTTCAGCCGCGTACTGGTCAGTGCACGGATGAGAAGCTACTCAAGGTGGGGGTGGGAAGCACAGAGACGAGCAGGCAGACAGCCCCTGCGCTGTACAGGGCAGGAACCAACAGCTGATGCTCCCGTTGCCAGAGGGGGGAACCTGTAACGCACGGGGCACTGGGTGCACTTAGAAGGGGAAAAATAATCCCTGGAGCAAAGGCTGCTCTGCTACCACCCAGCCAAGCTCGAAAGCAAGCTTCGACAGGATCAACTGTTTCCAAGTAATCTACCTGTGTCCAGAACAAGGCCCAAGAATATCTAAAGGAATACAAAAATACCTGACACCCAACACGGCAGAGATGACAATGTCTGGCCATCCACTCAAAAATTACCAGAGATGCAAAGTAGCAGGAAAATATACTTAATAATGGGGGGAAGGGATTCATCAATATAAACAGACCCGGCAATGACACAGAGGAGTCGACAAGGACATTAAAACAGTTATAACTATATGCCACGTGTTCAAAAAGGTGGAGAAAAGAATGAGCATATTAAGGATATAAAAAGATATAAAAAACAGCCCTGAAGTTGGAAAAGGAGCACCTCAAAGCTCAACGCATTTCTGATATGTTAAAAGGAAAAGCAATATCTGCTTTCCTTATCTAGAGGGATCATACCACTTCCTGCCCAAACAAGTAGACTTTTAAGAGTGAAAGTTGTGCTATTAATAATTACCTTGGGACTACATGCATGAACTGAGACTGTCCAGGGTTAATTGTGACATTTGATGAGGCCAGCATTTCCCCCCAAACCTTAGCAATATTAAACTTGGGGCAAGGAAGTGTTTGCATGACCATCGGAAACAGGTGACACTCTAAAGTTTCGGTACTTAAGGAGATGACCTTTTGGAAATCACGGCCATACAGACTAATGCATGCCATGTATCTCTCCAAAATTAGTTTCTCCCCTGCAGCCCTCTCCATTTTCCTCATGCCAACTTTGACCTCACTCCACTGTGTTGTGTCTGACTCTTGCACTGAGTGTCAGCCTCAGACTCTACAATGCTTATCCCAGTCAAACCTAGCCGGCCCAGATCTCGGCCCCACGGGACCGTGCTGCGTGTGGCCCGGTCGTAGCTAAGATGAAAGAGTTGTGGACGAGCTGCCCCTCTCGGCAAGGCACTCACATTGTAAGAGTTGCTTCTGGTCTCTCAGGGCTGTTCCCCAGCTACAGCAGAAGCATGGGCAGATCCCCTGCGAGGTGGAATCTGTACATACTCTAAGTTATTTGTCCAAGTGCATCAAAATATCAATAGTTCTAAAGAGAAAGGTGATCTTTTGCAAGGTAGGCAGCGTGTCTTGCATACTGGCCCGGTGGTGAGAAACTTCAAGCCAATGGCACAGAGCAAAAACATACTGGGTGTGCTGGTGACAGGAGCGTTTCCCTGTATTTCAGTGAGCCTCTGTCCTTATGAGTAATGAGGTTGTCACAGATCCCGACTACATGCTGTGACCTGATTGAAAGCCAGACCTGAGCCCGTCCTGGAGCACGCGGCGAGCCAGATGAGCCTGGAGCTCCGTTGTCACCGACTTTCAAACACAGGCATCTTAATTAAAAAATTATATGCTAGACTTTTGCCAAGGATTCAGATAAAACATCAAAAGGGGACAAGGTGTCTTTCTTTCAGTTGAAGGGCAGGTCCAAGATTGGGGGATAAGGGTGGAAAATCAGGTGGAGGAGGCTCCCGAGACGACCGAAGCAAAGCTCATCCCCCGCGAGGGGACCCTTCCCGTCTTGCAGGGAGATTACACTGTGCTGATGACCATGTCCAAAAGAAGCCTCTTCCCTCTGCTCCCAAACCTTGTCTTGGAAAACAGGCCTGTCCCAGCATGCAGGGGAAAACATACAAAGCACGTTGAGCATAGATATGAATCTGAGTGCTGCGAAAAATAGCCAAAATCGTGGCGTCTTCTCTGCCGCTGACAATGCTTTGGGTTCTCTGCTCCTTGCAGGTAAATGGGAACTGAAGCTTGGCCTTGGCTCGCAGTAGAAGACAGTTCCAATGCAGGCACACCCGCACGTGCGTGGCCGGGTTCACAGACTGATCACAGGTGGGGGACGTCCGATTTGTTAGTGTCAGACCCAGTCTGGGGATGGCAAAACCAATGGACATCTACCTTGGAGACAAGAGACAAACATTCCTTCTCCAGCAATATCCTGACAGTGACCTTGCCGTCTTCAAACATTTGGGCATTTAAATAAATAGACTGCTGTAAAATGTCCAATTAACAGCTAAAGGCTCTAAGTGAAGGCTGGAATACTGGAAGACAAATGGTTGGATTTAGTTTATCTTCAATACTCTCAATTTTGATTTCTCTCTTTGCCTATAGCAGGAACACATCCTGGGAACTTAAGATAACCCAAGCAGAACCAGGGGCAACCCAACCAGCAGCCAGACTTCAATAGGGACCCTCACACAGACCTCTTTTCACTTTGGTGCAGGAATTTGGTCTTTTCAAAGATTCGGACATCAATGCTTCTCCAGTTAAAAGGGGCTTCACCCCTAGAGATATGCACAGGTATACCAGGATATTTAAATCTGTACAATAAAACTAGAACATCTTTTTGGAGCAACAGTTTCACTAGAAGATTTAGGGGAAGGGGGAGTTAAGAAACGTCCTATCAGTTTAAGAGCATATCCAATATTTTTAATGCTAAAGTTTGGATGACTTATAGGGTTATGGCTAATTTGCAAGAAATTTTAATATAAAACATGAGCCTTCCTGGTATTTTCCTTGTGCTGGGTCTTTGGGGCCCTCATCTGCAGCCCCCACAGTACCAGCCCGACGTTTCCATCGCTGTCTAGAAGTCTGGCCCTCATCACTAGCAATAGAAAGTGCAGCCCTGGAGAACGTAGAGCTTGCTCCTGTTCATGGCTTATTTGCATTTTTCTTCGTAAACCTCAGAGAAGCCCATGAGAACGAGCATCGCTAACAGTGCCCAGTGGCAGATGAGGAGAGCCCACAGCACCGGGCTCACTGCTTTCCTACCACCAGGTCTCACGGTGCTGGTGTGGCGATGTCTCAATATCGAACTCAGAAAACCATGACTCTGGCCACTCACAGGCTGCCACGCCTGGCTGTCGACAGGGTACGGAGCAGGGCAGTCCCCACGGCGTGGCAGAGGGCAATGCCCGCTGAGGACTCTTGCCCACGGTGGACCCTGGGCTGACTCCAGCAGAACCTGCAGGCGCAGCAGAACAGCCCCCGCCTGGGGCTGCTTCCCAGGGCGCCCCGGGGCTCCAGTAGGTGAGACAGCCTCGGTACAGGCCCACGGCAAGCAAGCCCCCCCACCACCGTGTGCCCAGCGCTCTCCTCTCCTGTGTGCCTTTTGTCCTTTTATCTGCCCTCCTGCTGCTTCCTTTCTCGGTTTCTTCCCCAGATCTCTTTCTGGGGGTACAAACTCTGAAAGAACAAACGGCATCATGTAACTCTGGAAATCAGGAAGGAAATCCTCCGTTTGGCTAAGAAAGGAGACCAAAGTGATCTGTTTTCCCATCTCATGTACACAAAGGCACACGTCTGCGTCCTCGCCCCATGCCTGTCACAAATACTGCATTTGCAGGCACGGAGCTGCTCATCTTTACGCAGTACTCCTCCTCCCTCTAGAGAAAGCCGCGTGCGTGTGAGTGTGCGTGCGTGTGCGTGCGTGCATGCGTGCCTACGCGTCCGGGAGGCCGGGGAGGGGCGCGGCAGCCCTCCTGTCCCTCACGGCATCCCAGTGAGCTTCCCCACCCTGACGTTTTCCCGGAAGGCCGCCAACCCGCTCCCGTGCCGGGAAATGCGCTAATGCAGTCCGGCTGCCGTTCACGGCTCGGTTCTCCTCAGTGGAAGACGCGTTGCGTGGGGGCAGAAACCTTCATTCTCTGCATTAATTGATCCTCCAAGCACCTAGGCCAGGGCCGAGCCCACGGATGTTCCCTAAACACATACGAAAATTAATCGTACATGCGACTTTATTTCCTAATCATCTTCTCTAACGGCGCGGTCAGGTGGAAACCAGCTGTCTTGCACCGCCGTGTGCACAAGGAGGAGCGAGCGTGAGCGCGTCTGCAGGCCGTGCGCAGAGACGTGCTGCCCCCTGCGTGCGTCGATCCGGGGTCGGTAACTCCTCGTCCTGCCTGGCAGGCCCTCGTTCCGTCGGTCCGGCGTCGATCCGGGGTCGGTAACTCCTCGTCCTGCCTGGCAGGCCCTCGTTCCGTCGGCCGGGTGGCGGCCGCACTGCCCGCGCCAGGCCGGCTCCACCCTGGCGACCCGGGGCTCTCAGGCGCGAGCGGCCCGGATGCAACGGGGTGAGACCGGCGCTGCGGCCGGAGCAGCGGAAACACCCGAGGAGCCGTGCGGGCCTGTCCGGCGGGCGAAGGGGCTGCAGCCATCGCCCTTGGCAGCGACTTCCGGGGCCAGGACGGAAGCGGGTTGTGAGGACGGGACGGGCCTAGAAACCGGATGCGCGTCCGGCGCCGGCGTCCTCACCGCCTGGCTGTGAGGAGGATCAGAGCTCTGGGGCGAGTGTCTCCTTCCTCCCGGGAACGCGATGGGGCAGGAATCGGCCATCTCCAGGGCCCTTCCGGCTCCGGTTTCACGTTGCCGTGGCGGCTCTGAGGACTCCGGAGGAGACTGGGCGCCACCTGTGGAGATCGTGGCCCGAGTGAGCCCGCAGCGGGGTCGCCGGAACCGAGACCGGCCGAGACGCGGGCGCTGTGCGGGCAGCCGCTGCCAAGGGGGTGAGACGCGGCCCGCCTGGCCGCCCGAGGGCGCGGCGCCCGGCCTCGTCTGTGGACGCCCGAGGAGGGCGAGAGCCGGATCCACGGGACAGCCCTCGACTCTGTCTGCGAGGAGTGAGAAGTCACAGAACTTTCCCCAAAACACCTCGGAGGACTCTGGTCGGCCCACCCCGTACCGGGCGCGGTGGTCACGGGCGGGAGAGCACGGTGGTGCCCTGGGCGGAACCCACGCGGACCCGGCCGTGATGAGAGGCCCGTGGAAGGAGGCCAGGAGCACCCTGGCCGGAGGGGGGAGGCGCGGCCTCGGACCAAGACGGGGCGATACCGGGGTACGAGCCAACAACGGATCGACTGAACAGAGTAAAACCCAAATGTGTAAAAATACAAATGTAAATACAAATGATGGTTATACATACCATAGTTGGATTTTAAAATTAGAAGAAAACATAGATTATTTAGTAAAGGCCTCCATTCCTAACTCACGTCATATACCAAAATAAACTTCAAATAGAAATTTGGGTTCTGTTGTACATGGAGAAAAAGATAACGAATATTCTTTGGAACATGATCAAATGCTCCTTGACCCATTTTTGTGCCAACTACTTTCATTCTGCCCAATGTCATCTACTAAGAAACTCTGTCTTGACATACCTGGACCACCTGACTTCCTCGTCATGCCAAAATTCACATCTCCACAATGCCTTTCTCTCGGGGCCCAGACGCCTACTAAGTGGAAGTGAAGTATTAAATGACTGGATAAATGACTTAGGCCACACATCCCGCTGTTATCACCCCCAGGTATCAAAGGGCATTTCAACAGAAGCCTTATTAAAAGAGCACGTTAAATGAAATTAGTTTGGTTTATTGAGGACACCTACCTATATATAATTTTTTAAAGGTTTATTTGCATCAGTATTTTTGTGCCGTAAATAAAAATCTGAAAAAGAAAAGCACGATAGTAGAAAAAATAACACAGGAAAAAACAAGAGGAAAAAGTCTGTCTATAATAATGACAATTTTTTAAAAGAGAAGGACCTGTCATGGTGACAATCAGGAACCACATGGGAGACACTAGGGGGTGTCTGAGACATAGATTGTTTCCTCTCCTGTGTCATGTACCTGAAATCAGTGAACAGAAGCCTAGCACCCTAATTACTACACTAAATAAATTAACAGGATGTCTATGGGCTTAAAATACACCTAAGTTTATATCCCAGCACCGCCGCTTCCTAACTCTGGGAACTTAGTCATTTTGTTTTACTGTGACTCAGTTTCCTCATGTGCAAAAACAAGATACTAATTTCTGCCATGGGGAGAAGATTAAATCAGAGACTATATGTAAAGCACCTGACATACAATGTCAGTAAGTTAATTTTCGTAGTAACAAAAGAGTTTCCAGGGCGTATTTGTGTATTTACATGATTTACTGTCTCACGATGTCCTCATGCCATCATAGGCTGACCATGATTACATTTCTTTGTCCCATCCTCAAAGAGGTGGAGACAGGGCAGGGTCCCAAGTGAACCACGTACTCCCTGAGGAGCAGGAAGTAAGCAATGTGAAACATAAATAGAGTCAAACACCATGTAAACAACTGTACAGGGCTCACAATGCCTTTGATGAACACTATAAAGGAACAACAATTATTATGACAGTGAAGCAACAATTATGACAATTAAATTTAATGAAGATAATTAAGCCAACTTAAATAAATGAGCATTCCTTAGATATCTTGCTTACTTCTTCCACTTACTATTCTTAGGATTCAAAAAAGCAAACAAACATACACTACCAAAACCTTCCTGGAGAAGGTTTAAGGAGAAGCCACTAAAGCTGAGGATGCACGTCACATGCTTAGACACCTTTCTGAGAAGTGCAGGGCTCAGGACATGGGGCCAGGGGATGGGTCTAGAAATGGGCCCCGTTGCTCACATGGGGCCTCCAGGCAGTGGCCTGGCATCTCTTAATGGCTGCATTGTGTTTTCATGCCTGGAAGAGCTGAAAACGGAATTGTGATGCCAGAGGCCTGGCTATGGGACTCCCACTGGCGTAACCACAGCTGCTGAGTCTCCCCTCTCTCTTCCCCAGCAAGTTCTCTCCCAAAGCACTGCTCCCCTTGGGAACGCTTAGATGGGGCATAGAAGGAAACTTTCGTTTTTACACCCAGAGAGAAAGAGCACTAAGGCTGACCTGTTCCAGACAATAGCCACGCTTTTGTTGGATGGGGCTTAAGGGATTATGGGGAAATGCATGGAATTTAATAGACATAAAGGAAGAAAAATAGGATCTGTGATCTTAAACACTTCCACACCCTACCTCTATCGAGCCCTGCTGGTGTTTGGAAACAGTCAAGGAAGGTGCTTAGCTACACAAGCGAGAAGAGGTCGGTGGTTAAAAGCAAGGACCTGGTTGGCCTGTATCCGAATCACAGCCCTGCCACTTACCTAGGTGTATGATCTTTGTCAAGTACTCAGCTTTCTGTGCTTCCATCTCCTAACCTGTAAAATGGTAGTAATTAGAGTACCTACCTTATAAAGTTGTTTAGAGAATTAAATTGTGCTAACCAATGCAAGGTACTTAGAACAATTCCTGACGTATACAAAGCACTTGGTAAGTGTTAGCATGAAACTACGTGTGCATTTTTAACCTTACAATCAACTATGAGCTTATTCCATCTGCTTACTACCAAATTACATCCTCCTGTGGGGGTAATATTCTTGTATACACAATATTCTCCAGTTTTATTACTGTTTCCTTGGTGGTGGTGGTGGTGAGAGGGATCTTTTAAACCCAATTCACCAACAGGTTATGTATTTGACCTAGAAATCTCTTAGATTATAGAATCATTTGGAATTCCAGCATGCTTATTTCTAATTATTTGAATGTACATTATCTCCTATTTAACCCAAGGATCTTTAAAAATTCTTCAGCCAAGTCAACCCTTCTCTAAAGTGAGTCCTATTCTTGATCCTGGGCTCTCACCCATGTTGTGTCGAATCATTGGACCAGATCTTCCACTTTGCATAGCACTGGGAGACAATGCCACATGAACGTATTCATGTTTCTGCAGGGGCAGAGCCATGTGAACAAAAATTACTGGCAATCTTTAACAAGGGTGATTGGCAAACAAGCCTTGGAAGTTCAACACAGAGGCTTCTGGAGAGAGTTAGAGAGATCTCCTCCAGAGACATCTGCTCATACTCCAGGGCTGTAAACCTAGAGACCTTTCCCTCCTCCCCAAGAGAAGATCTCGACTTCTCAAGCTAACGTGTCTGCTGCACCCACCACCACCCAGCCTCGATCCAGAGAAGAATGAGGCAGCTAGGCCAGCAGCTCCTATGTCAGCTCTGAGTTTCGTAATTCCGAACTCCGCAAGGACAGGTACATCGGGCAGCTCCACTGCGTCACCCTGCGGGGAACTGAGGGAGGGGGCCACACAAGTTGCTCTAGGAATAAAAGGCCTGTCCCTTGTTGCAGGCGTCTCTCTTTGTACGCACCAGGAATCCCCGAGGGCAGATATCCTGACGGACATGTATGTGTATGCGTGTCCGTATCTCATGAACTGTGGTCAGCAAACTTGTCAGCTTGCACGTGGGGCAATATGCCAGAACCTTAATGGTTTCAGACCAACGTCCTGTTCACGACACCCATCCTTCTCCAGAACTCGCCTTCTCTGCGAAGCCATCAATAGAGGAAATTATGAAGTCCTAAAAAACTAGCTCCATTGTTTTATTTGTTCCCAGAATTTGATACCTCACTCCCCTTTAAAAAATAAAGTGTAAACCCATAAAGGACTTCTCAGAGCACTGCGGGAAAAAATGATAGAGCCCAAACTCAATCCCAGGATCAGAAGGTGCTGCGTAGGTTGGGCCCTGCCCTTGGGGTGGTGCCGGGCTTAGGCTAGGAGCGCCTCGAGGGAGCTCAGAGCCACCCGCGTCGGGGGCTCCTTTCCTGGGCAGCACCCTCATCGGCCCCACTCTCCTTCTGTGGGAGTGACGGGTGGCACTCACACTCAGGTTCCTCCAATATTTGCCAAATTTAAAAACGCATTGTAAGAGAGAATTGTTTTTGTTGTTTGTTTTGTTTTCATTTTCTGCCTTAAGCCCCGGGCCACAGCGCCTGTCCTGTCAGGCGGCAGAGTGGCGTGAGAAGCGCGGCGGAGGCCAGGAGGGCCACACGGAGAACAGAGAGAGATTCCTCGCCACCCCAAGCTCGGCACGGTCTGTCTGCGGCTGCCATTCTCCGGTGTGAGCCGAAGGGTGGGCTGGTGCGAGAGGCGATAAGACAACAAGCTGATGGGCGTTGGTCTGTCCTTTGCCCACTCTAGCCCCAGATGGAGAAGGCCGGTGCAGGGAGGTGAGGCGGGACCCCCCCGAAAGGAACAGCAGAGAGCAGAGGCAAGTACTTGGGGAGAGGACACAGGATGCTCGGGGTCTGGTTCTGGACAAGGACTGGGGCATGCGGAGCCCCACACAGGGGCAGACTCTGAAGGGGAAATGCTGCACGGACCACCCAGGAGCGGTGCGCTGGGCGTGGCCCCCGGCCCAGACAGGGAGCATAGCTTGGCCAGAAAGCATCAGAGCTGCTGGCCTTCAGATGACACAGGGACGTGGCCCACTGTGCACTGGAGGCCACGGGCTCTCCAGCACCAGCTAGCGGGTGGCAGAGGAGAGATGTGAGCCCAGACGGGGCTGACATCGACAAAGCATCAGAAGACGGGTCCTGAGACCTCACCTGACCATGCAGAGCCAGGCAAGGAAGCGACAGGAAAGATGCAGATTGAATTTCTGGCTGCCCTGGCTAAGTGGGGATTCATTGTCAGATACATTCTGATTTAGAAAAATATTCTGATTTTTGTTATAAACTGCAATGATATAAAATGCATCCCTACTTCATGAATATACCTCTAAGGCATAGGCGTATAAATATATTTATATAGTTTTTATAGTTTATTTATATAGTTACATTGCTTAGGAGCTGGCTGCACTTATTCCTACGGT